GATTCCTTAATAGCAAGCCATTTATTAAGAAATGACACAAAGAGTACATTCTACTCATGACAGGAAAGAGTGGGGTGGGGAATGAATGATTTAGAAATAACATCTGAAGAGATGACTTCCAAAAGTTGGCCATTTCACAAAAACTCTTGGATGCAACAAAATTCTTCAGGTCAAAATAACTGCAGTATTTCTTTAAAGAGTTAAGGAGTTCAGCCTTACTATTGAAAGACATTCATAGAATTTGGCATCTGATCTTTACATGGCTGAAACTTTAAGGAAGTGAATGGAAAAGATAACTACTTATTCTGCTTATTTCGGAGTGTATTTATTAGTCATGAACTGTGTCCACAAAACTGTGGTGAGCTGTTTAGAGCACAGAAGAAACCCATGCATGTATAGGATTAAAGGTCCTGTCGGGTGACCTCTGACTTCACAACCTCTTTGTGCCTCAGCTCCTCCCCAGTAGTGTGAGGATTAAACAGGATGATAGCCTGAAGCTCTTAGTCCAGTGTCTGGCCCAGAAATGATGCTTAGCAAATTGTGATAGTACTGGTGGCAGTGGTTTTCCATGTTTTCCACAATTATTGTTAGAATTATGAAACCTCAGGTATTTTAGTGGCTTAAAGGAGCAACCCATGTTATTATTAGTAGGATTGGTGGAACTCTAGACAATTTACCCCAGTGTCAGGCCAGAATTGTTGTATGCTACATGTTGTCTATCTTTACAGCCCTCAACATACAATTCAGTCTGGTTGGGAAGAAAATAGTACATAAGATACAAAAGCCTATAGCCAAATCCAAATGGAGCAAAAATCAGACTTCTCAATCTAGGGAACAGAGAAGAAGTGCCGTGGCTGGTCCGGTATTTCTTTAGTGATCCCACATATGATGAGCCTGAGGCTACATGCTCTCTGTATTACACCATAGGTTGTTCATTCTTAGCCTCAGGAGCCCAGTGTTATATCCCAGGCAGGCCAAAATTTAAGTGACATTGGAAAAGTCACTGAACTCTAAAGAACTGAATATCATTACTGGCTAAGAATTGTACTGTTATATACATCGTATTGATTCTTTTTGTTAGAAGAATATGACAATGAACTTGTTGACACCATTCCATAGTACACAGTTGGCAACAAGTCTTTTCAACTCATTGACTCTCCTGGAGAAGGTATCCTATATTCATTGTAAAATTCTATTCCCTATATTGACAGTGTAGTTTAGGCCCTCATTGCCTCTGGCCAAGGTTTCCACATCAGCCTGTAAGCTGTTTTCTTCCCCCTCCAAAATCATAGCCCTGTTTGTGCACACTGTGTACTGTTACCAAATGCATACTCCTTTGCTTCAGCAATGATGTTATTACTTCCCTGCTCAGGAGCTGTCATGGATTCCATACCACACCACACACTTTGCTTCCTGTCTGCAGCCTTCTGCGCATGTGTGTGTAAATGCCTGCAAAGCCTCCTGTGTCCTGCTCTGCCTTGTTTGATCTGAACTGTTCTCCAAGACATGACTTCAGTGTTCCACTCTTAGAAATAAATGAGATGTATAACTCCTCTGAACTTTCCGAACATGTTCTTTGCATTTCTGTGCAAGTTTTTGACATGTTCAGCCTTGCATTAGATATTCAAATATTATTTTAATATTCCATTTATTTTGTATATCTTTGGGAAATAGATTCACCTTTTTTATTATCTCAAAGGCTGTGTAGGAGGGTTAGTGTGGCATGGTAGGAAAAGCAAAGGTTTCGGGGTCAGATATCCTTACATTTTAACCCTGCCTCTCTTATTTGCCTTTTAGTAATGATGATAAATTGCTCAATCTCATCCCCTATGGCTTAATTGCCCTCATCTAGAACCTGTACTTTACTGAGAAAATTATTTCAAGGCTAACTTAGGCACAGGAAATAAAGTGCTTATCAAATATGAATTCACAGTTACTCCAAAATCATGCCAAAAGAGAACCTCTTAAGTCCTTCGTTATATCTGTAATATGCTCCCCATTCTCCAGAGCAGAGGCACTAAGGATACCCCACCTGTTGCTGGGGCATTCTGGAAGGGACCCCCTACCCACAATGGGAGCTGCTGCTTTGGCTGTAGTGTCACAAAGTCAGACTCTATCTTCACTTGCTATCCTTGTGAAGTGCAGATACACAGAGAGTGGTGAAAGAGAGGCAATTTACATGGCCCTCTTGAGGAAGGTAGAGTTTGAGTGAGAGTATTACCAGGATTATTTAACTAAAGCTGAAAGACCCATTCGCATTTCAGTAAACTAGTGATGTTTCAAAATCTAAGACATGTATGTCTTATTTGTCTTACATAAGAATGATGGTTCACAATTCAAGGTGTGTATGGCACTCTCTGAAGTTACTCCTCCGAAGTCCAGTAGACACTTTGAAAGTGTTGTCATGCTGCCAGATCACCTGGTGCATGGCCATAATAGTGTATTAAGTGGTTCACAGGATATAGATTGCCAAGTTAAGGAACATTTGTGTGAGCTTACTTAGTTTTTTTTTTTGTTTGTTTGTTGTCTTTTTTTTATCTGTCTGATGAATGATGGGCACATCGCTATTTACATGTGTTTTTCTTCCTTCACTATTTTCTGGGCCCCCTTAGTTTTAAAAGGTTAATGAAAGTCTCAGGTGGATGATGCAGCAGAGAAAGTCTGAAGTACAAGTACAGCTGAGTGTTTACCAGATATAATTCCCTCTCACCTGCATCTTGCTCTTTCTTCCCTCCCCAAAACAAGGGAGTTACTGTACAATTTCTCCCATGCCATGGCAATAAATACCCTGCACTCTGTTTTGACATTTTGGAAGAAAATCTTAATACAGCTTTATGCTGCAGTTTAGTTAATGAGAGGTGTGAATGTCTAAGCTCCAGAAAGGTGAAAAGCATTAATAACTATTATATACCAGGCTGCTTCGAGTGCTCATGAGTGATCTGGGCTGATATTTAAGTAATCACACCCTCTCTTGCTCCATGGCCTATTTCATAAATAAAAAAATCATGAAATAAAAGAGCAAATTATGCAAATAAATTTAATATGAAAAGCAAATTAGGAAACGACTAGCAAAACTATTAATTATAACTCTGTTTACACTTCTTGTCAAACCTAACCATTTGTTTTTGAATTGAAGGCCCTTCCTCATTTAGTGTTTGTCATTGAGAGATTGGTTTGACTTTCAAAAAGTACATTTAAGTTTCACATGTCTTAGCAGTGACTGCTTTTGTTCAATGACAGTTATGATCAAGATATAGTCCTTGTGATTAATCAAACAGCTAATCGTTTATCCTTAGAGATTGTTGTATTTCCTCATACCACCTCCTGAATCCATCATTCCATCACAGCATCACAATTCTCTTATTGTCCCAAGCCACAATCATAGGAATCATCCTATATTCTCTTTCCCTTATTACCAGTCAAGCAGTCAGTACATTCTCCTGATTATAGTAATTTACAGCTCCTTAATAACTTATATCAGGCCTATCCATTCTACCCTCTGAGCTGGCTTAAGTGACTCCAACTTCCCTGACTTAAGTGACCCCAATGGTCTCTCTGACTTTAACTGATTATATTCTTCACCGCTTTTTCCACTTTGCTCTCTGCGCCTACTCTCATGACTGGGTAATATTTCTAGACTATCAGTGCAAATCAAATGATAATGTTTCTCTACTTTGCTGAGTCTCCTTTAGCTAATGAATAAAACTTGTTGTGGCAACCAAGTCCATATAACCAGTGATTATTAATTTCTGATTTGGGAATTATATGAAGGCACTTCAAAAAGTTCATGGAAATGTGTAGTTGAAAGATTCTGCTGTGAAAAATGTTGAAATCCACACAGTCTTTTCATAATATTCATTTTTTATGAATTTTACAAGAAGTTTCCTTATGTATGAATTTCAACTTTTTTCATGCCGGAATGAACTTGTCTGCTAGCTTATTTTGCATGAAATTTTTTTTGCATGAAGTTTTTAAAGTTTGCTGTCAGTATAACCCTCACAATTCCCAGTTAGAGTGGTACATGATTGTGCTTTAATAGTTTATGAGCTTGAAAATCTGATGGACAATTCAAATTCATGTTACTTAAAGAAATCTACTGTGTCTTTTAGGTCTGACCTTAACAGCTTGCCTTTTCCTGTGCACTACATGCTCCATCATACCAAACTATCCAGTAAATATTGTATCTTTTCAAATCATTGCTCATTCTCTCTTTTTTTTTGTAATTTCTACTCATCCTTTTACCATTCTTCTGCAGTGCCATGTTTTCTAAAGCTCTTTTACTCTCTTAGTTTTCTTACCCCAAGCTGGGTTGGCTACCTGCTTCTATGTGATCATATCAATTAAGAAATAACTGTCAAAGAAGTTCTCGGTGTGTTTAATCTGCCAGGCTCTCCCTGCTCACTGCCTCCCCTGCCCCAGAGCTGGTTTGGGAACCCCGTCTTAAATGACCAGACAGAACAACTATGAAGGTGAAGATGAATGCAGAGCATTGAGATGATCCAGAACAGTGGGAAACATTTCACATTGCGTTTAAGAATGGGTGACTTAGAAAAAGATGAGTTCCCTCTCACAGAAGTTCAGAATCAAATGCCAAAAATGAAATGAGTAGAAGTTCTCAAGACAAAGACAGACAAAGTGTGAAAAGCCTAGGAAATGTTTTATCCAGTCACCTAAAAAATTTTAAGACCAAAACATGGAGAAGTGCTTTTGCTAAAATCATCTAGGAATGTTGCAACTTTAGTGATGATTTACTGTCACAAAAAGAAAAGAGATGAAAGGTGCATTAGGAGAAATATACCTTTCTGGTGGAGACCATTGTCAACATTCCTTTCAAGTCAGGGATGAATACTGATCATTTAGTATTGCCTTATAAATGCAAAAAGAAAATGTGCTAAATACAACAGTGAAATTTGCTTTCAATGGTCTTTTATTCACAGAACTTAACTGATGTTTCTTTCTTTCTTTCCTTCTTTCTTTTTCTTTTTTTTTTTTTATTCTAGCACCAATAGCTGCAGGAACTGGCCCAAATTTTTCTCTCTCAGATTTGGAAAGTTCTTCATACTACAGCATGAGTCCAGGAGCAATGAGGAGGTCTTTGCCCAGCACATCCTCTACGAGGTAATTTGATGGCTCATAAAGAGGTTGTGCTGCAGAGTTGCACGCCTTGGTTTTAACCCTGACTCGCTAGGCATTTAGCAGAGACCCCACAGCAGAGAGCACAGCTCCAGCAGCCTGTCAGTCTTGCTAGGGAGATACAGCAACTGCACACGAAGCAGGAAATATCCAGATAGTAAAAAAGCAGCGAGCTGATTTGTGTGACATGGACTAGAAATAGCTACAGAAAGCTTTATCCAAACACGGTGACTCGTGCTTAGCTCTAAGTGTTGGTTAGGTTGATGAGATGGAAAGGAAAAGGAGTGGGATACTGGGTGGGGTGAGAACATGAACGTGGAGGCGGAATGGATGATGAGAAGAGCTTGTTCTCAGGAAATGAAGGCCAGGATTAGAATGGGGAAAGGGCAGCTGTTCGGACGTTTGGCCGGAAGTGGACACTGGTTACACCATTGCAGTCCCTGTGCCCAGAGTAGCTGAAAGTGTCCAGCCCCAGCTTTTTTCCTGTTCCCAGCAGTCTGAAAATGCAGTCTATGAGGCCATCCTTTAAAAAAAAAATGAACCCTATTTAATATCCTGGTGTGAGTCTTAAAGTGAGTAAATGGTTACAATGAATGCTATTAGAAAAAAGAGGATGGCCAGACTCTGATGCACCATGAGTCCTTAAAAGCATAAAACTAGGGAAGCTCAACCCAATACGAATTCGAGGATTCTTGATCCTTTTTAAGTTAGGTGACAAAGCCAAAATGAAAATAGGGCATTTTGCAAGATCCTGTTGTCTCTAGATAACCTGTACCAGAGGGAAAGGGATTAGGCATTAAACCCACAGTATTCTTTTACAAATTGGCTTTAGCACTGGACTGTGACAACAAAGAAAAGAATGATGCAGAACATCTTTAATGTTTGTGTGCTTTGCAGAAAACGATGGACAATGGTATATTACTCCAAAACAAAAACCCAAGCTTTACCGTTTGAAATAATGTCCATGTTATAGAAATGTTCTTTGATTACAGACTCATTCTTATCCCGATTTTATGTATCCTAAGCATAATTGCTTTAAAAGGAGGGTTTACTGAGTCATTACTGCTAACTTGGAGACACTTTAAAAAAGTGTTTGCCACAAAATCCTATCATCACTTTTCCCATTGTTTAAATCTTCCCCTTGGTTCCCTTTGTGCCACCTTTCAGGAGTGAGGCAGGGGAAAGTCTCAAATCCAAAGTACATTTATAATATAAGAAACAGATTGTGAATGCATTTAGGTGTTAATACGTTTTGGGGATTTTGAATGTTTGCTGATGGAGGAGACACGGTGTGTGACTGCCTTTGGTCAACATGTGAAAGCTTTGCAAATACTTGCGGACAGTGATTAATTGGAAAGTTTCTGGGCTGTTTGCTTTTCATATGTGTACTTCACATGCACCCCGTCTATCCCAAACAGTGCTGTGCACCTCCTAACCTGGCGTGCACTTCCCAGCTGTGTTGTATCACTGCTGCGACTCTGAGTGGAAAGTCAGTTATTAATGTCAGGTAAAAGGCTTGTGTTATTCTCATACTCTGCAAATAACTAACCCTGATAAGGACTAATTATAAGCAGCATCAGTAGTTAATAACTCAGTAATATGTTTGTTCTACTCTCATTAGGCTCTTCCTGGGATGATATTTTTTTAAATATGTTATTTAAATACAAAGATTCAACTGAGTTATCTGTATGCAGATTAAAAAAATATTCAGAAAGAATATTCCAAATTTACATACAGAAAAATCAGTCAATTGATCAGTATTGATCGATTGTATTAATACAGTGCCAGCGTTAACCAGTGTGGAAGGCACAAAGTCAGGAGCTTTACAAAGCTAATCTGAACCATTCCTCACATTTTAGTTTTGTGACATAGACAGTGTTACCATCTGAACAGTAGAGCATCATGGAGCTCAGAGAAGTTAAGTAATTGGGCCTCCAATGGCAGAGTCTACCTTCAAACTTGGGTCTTAGAAGTTACGAAAGAGTCCGTTTTCATACCACATCGTTCCAGGAGTGAGACTGAGTCTGTTGGTAGGCAAGAGAAGAATATGAGGCCCTGATAAAAGAAGTATCTGGCATGTGTCTTTTTCTCCGATACTTTGTGTTTGCAATCTTGAGTTGCTGTGAGTCTCTGGAAGGACTGCATCTGCCCTCGTTCAGATACCACAGCAAGGATGGTGTTCCCAGCACTGTGGCAGAAAGGCAATTCAGGAGACTGACACATCAGTCGAGATTTCAGTTCAGGGTACCATGGTAACTCAGGAAAGAGGCCCTTCCTAGTCTGTGGACAAAAGTAAGGTCAGTAGGTCTTGCACATAATACAATCTAAGGAAATACAACTATTAGGAATTAACATATTATGCTTAAATGACTTTTTACATAGGATTGGCGACTGCACAAGAGCCAATTTCATACAATAGAAAAAAATGACATGTCACTCCTTAGGAGCATATGTGTCCTCCTTACTTTACTGTTTTCCTTGAATGTTTCTGGAAGAGTAGCATCAGCACACTAGAAAGTCAGAAACAAGAAAGCAAACTGAAAGGTGGGTTTGTTTCTAACTGATGTATATGCATACATACAGGAAGATGCAGCCACTACCTGTAGGTTCTGTATCCCTTCTGGGTAAATGTTTTCACTGTCTTGGAATGGGCAGTTTAAAAATCGGGATAAAATGCAGTTCTCAAGGGCTTCCTTAGGATTAGGCAGCTGTGGGATGTGTGGAATGTGTAGGATTTCTTGCAAGCTCTGGACATACCCTTCCTGATGTTCCTAATTCTCTTGGTTCTTGAATCTTTTTCTTCCGACCCCTCCCTCCATTCTGCACCTCCACCTACCCAACATTTATCCTGTGTCAACCCCAGAAGTCCTTGCTTTCAAACTGAGAATTCTGCTACTTGCAGAGTCCTTGACCAGAAGGATTTGATGCCTTTATGAGTATTTGCACTTTATTAGAGGATGCCCTGGATGTCCAAAGCTTTAAAATCTTGGAAGGATATTAATAGTGAAGGATAATGGGAAATGGAATTGGCCTTCTAGGTTGGAGCTCACCAAAGCTTGATGTTTGAATGAATCCTTGTCACATGGATTCATTCTATGGCTGTTTCTGAGTAGCCTGGTGGGCAACTATGACTGGTACTAGCCATCTGAAAATGAGTTTGGGGCCAGGATTGTGACACAAGTTAAGCCACTGCCTGAAGCTCCAGCATCCCATAAAGAGTGAGGTTTGTGTGCTGCTTACTTCCGCTTCCAATTCAGCAGGCTGTTGATTTCACCTGGGAGAGCAGCCAAAGATGGCCCAGGTACTTGGGCCCTACCGTCTATATGGGAAACTGGGTTCCTAGCAGTGGTCAAGTAGAGCCACACAGGGAGTGAAGGAGTGACTGGAATGTCTCTTTCTCTTGTTCTTCTCGGTATATCACTCTGTTTTTAAAACAAATCTTTTTTCACAAAAAGAAGTTAGAAAGCCACTTTTTCTGCGGATCTTAAAGTGCCATCAGAACATGCAGTCTCACCTTTTATATGCCTGAGTACTGAAGGCAAGTATGTATTCTTTCAAATTCTAAAGTAATTTCAAGAGACTTTCAGTTTTACAACACAACAGAAAATATAGACATATTCTTTAGGGGGGGTGGGTAGAAATGCCCCTTTGGAAAAATAGGAAAGATTACTATATCAGGAACCTGAATGTGAGTTCCATGATCTCCCATGGCAAGAACAGGAAGCAATAGCTTCATATATTTTGCATTTTCTAATAAAAACAATTTTATCCAAAGAGACCAGCTTTTTCTGATTTCATGTGCTAGGGATTTTTTTATGTATATGCTGTTATAAAGAACCTCCATTAGATGCAGCCTTGCATAAAACATGGAAAGGTTCTTCAAGTGGCTATTTTTCTTTGAACTTTAAGGAAAACCAAGCAAGAAACATTAAATAAGCTATTAAAGGCATTTCCTCTGGGTCCTTAGCTAGTCCGGTACAGTTATGTTGCTTTGCTGTGGTCTGGTTTTAACGAGAATAGAACTTAATAGCTAAGAACACTGGAATGCCAGCATTAATAATTAGAATTTTTGCCTTAATTTGGGCCCTCCACATTTTTTGAATCAGACTGCTGCAGTAGCCTCTTACGTATCCTCCTACCTCTAGGTTTCATCCTCTTACGTTCTTTTTGTCTTTCTAGTTCTATCATTGGCACAGTGACCACAGTAACTGTTATAAGTGATGATTTGAATGTCACTGTCTGTTTCCATGGTCTCAGGGGGTCTCCACTGCTAATAGGAGAACATACTGGCATCCAGTATCCTCCCTAGCCCCTACAGTGCTCTGCTGCTGCACCCACTCCTTCAGCCTCAGCCATCGCAAGCACTACAATCATGATGTGCTTGTGCCTGACTCGGACCTGCCTTCTGGAGGTGATGGGTCAATGAGCTGATAACCTGTGTGACAGGATACCATACCAATTACATCCAAAGCTTCCGCTGGGTACTGGAATACTGTGGCGTGGCCAGTCATTAACCCCTTGGTGTTAGTAATGGGAGGACATCCTGGCACAGAGAACAGAGAACAGATGGCAGGCTTGGAAGAAGCTTATAGGGCTTGAGGCAGCAGTAGTTGCCAAGTGGTCAAGACATGTTTCCATGGCTGCCTGTGTGCTACATCTGCCTAACAGCAGCCTGCTTCTGCTCTTTCATTCTTCCTTCCCTGCCTCTTCACCTGCCACATTAGAACTACATGGGAAGTGGGTGGTGAATGAAAAGAGCTGGAAAATTCTGTACCTGACACATAAGGAAAAGATTTTCTAATAAATACCCTTGCCCCACTCCTAGGTATGAAATCTGCCCATTCTGGCAACATGTCAGTGGTGCTCTCTTGTTAAAACAACAAGACGAAGAAGAGCAGCTGGTTGTATTTCTCAACTTTTCAACTCCTGAAGCCTCACATTAAGAGAAAAATTTAGTCCTTCAGCTGGAGGAAATGAGATGCATTCTACAAGTTTCTCAACTATCCAAAAACAACCAAAAAGTCCCCAGTGGATTAAAACATGATTGCAGTAACCTCTGTGTAGAAGAAGGTCATAAAAGTCCCTGGGCCACTCCCTGTCTGTATTCCTGCTTCTAGCACACCAGTGCACCCCTTCTCCTCTTTTTGTTTGTTTCCTTCTTGGTGTATCTTGAAGAGTCTAGAGCAGTAGTTATACCTCTGTAGCTGTGCAGTAAGTTTTTTGGAGGAAAATATGCAAGTGAAATATGAGGAAAACATGGCCAATAAAAAAAGAAAACCAAGTTTTTCTTGAAGGATCAGGAGTGCTGCTTTTGTCCCTGTCTGGGTGCCCACTGGGGTTCAGTTGCTGTCTAGGTGCATGGCTGCTGCTGGAGCCCCAACAGCCACCTACAGAGATAGGAAATCCGTGGCCTTCCCACCACACTGCCAGGTGGAGTACAGAGCAGGAGCCAGTTACCAGTTCCTCAAAGGAAAAAGAAACAGGATGTGGCAGCCGCAGCAGCAACTTCAGGGACAATAAAAATCAAACCCAGACACTTGGAACAACATAGACCCAACACTTTGTTCCACATCCAATGACTCACCCAACTGAATTAGAGCCTAAAACGAGGCCTAAAACTACACTCAGTTGCCCAATTGCTTCCTCCCTTGGCTTCCTTTCAACCAGAGGTGCAGTGTCCAAGAGAAAGGTGGTTTGGATTGCTTTTAAACAAGCACCTGTTTGTTATTTCAGCTCCACAAAGCGCCTCAAGTCTGTGGAGGATGAAATGGACAGTCCTGGTGAGGAGCCATTTTATACGGGCCAAGGGCGCTCCCCAGGAAGTGGCAGTCAGTCCAGCGGATGGCATGAAGTGGAGCCAGGTAAGCAAGGTTGGGCCGCAGGATTGTGGCAAAGGCTGCAGAATCAAACACGTGCACGTGGGAGGTGTCATGTGGAGGAAGCTGAAGCAAATGGACTTTTCAATGTAAACTTATGTCTGTGCTGTGGTCCAGCCGCCACCTTTGTGCAAGTGGCAGTGCGGAGCTGTGCTTCAGTGGAAAGACGGGTGAGAATGGTACAAATTTCTTCTTTTACACATTGTCGTCTGCGCTGCAGTCCAGTCTTTCATTTACTTCTGGGTTTATTTCTGGCTATCTTTCTATTGATGTTTTTAAGTTATCTGTTTATAGGCATGATTAAATAAAAACTATCAACTTTTCCACCTGCATTGCTAATACTAAAAAGGGAAATGAGTTCCTTGGGCTGCAGTTCATACCCACATTTTTACAAAAGAAAGATGATGATAATAGTTTTTCCTATTCCTGAGTGTCATCATTATTGTTTTTCTATTTACATGGAATATCTATTTCTTTGTATTCATTCGTTCTAAACTGTGCAAATGGTGATTGCTAATCTGACTTCCTGAGTTGTATTTCTTATCTTGAGGAAATTAGGGATACTTCTGGTAGCAGAAATTTCTTGATACCCATATCAATAAACTTGCTCTATGTGAATAATCCCTTTTGTAATAGGATGGGTCAAATGGATAAAGCAGATATGATGTGGACTCTGGAATCAGATGGATAGGGAAATCTTTGTTGGCAAGATCCTAACCCTTTGGGGCCTATGTCTTCGACTTTATAATATGACAATATTAATGCATGTCTCAGTGGTCCTGAACATTAAATAAGGCACCATATGTAACCACAGAAAATTGTACCTATCGTCAAGTAAGCATTAAAAAAAAAAAGTTTTCTGCACATTGTTCCTCACCCATCTCGGAATAATTCTGTACCAGAACAGGCAAACACCATGGCAGTCTCAGAATTAACCTCTTCATCTTCAAGTCTTAGCCAAAGGCATTTCTCAGTTGATGTAACTCTGAATGGGGATTGCAGGGGAGAACTTGAGGTGATGGGTTTGCTCTGTCTGTTCTGACTATGCTGCAAGCTACAAGAATCATGCAAGTATTTACATTCAGGGAAGTGTCTACTTCCTCCCCATAAAAGTTTGTTTTACTGTAACCATAATTAAGAACAAAACGAAGCAAAACACAACAGAAAACCTCAGGCCCTACTGGCCAGGTCTTTCTTCTTGCTACTCTTACTAAAATACAAACATTTCTCTTAGTCCCACTTCTACCTAAATGCACTCACTTGACTCATGCGTTTATTTCCTCACTCCTTCAATAGACTTCCTGGATTAACTTTTAGGGTGAGACCCTGCACCAGGTTCAGAAAACCCAAGGATGAATGGGGAGGCGATGGCCCTTGATCTCCAGGACCCCACAAGTACAGTAGGAAGCTGACTCATTAGCAACCATTGCACAGGGTCATGAGAAGCATGGGAGTGGTGATGCTAGCCTTCACGGCCTTCTCTCTTTAGTTTTCACCAACTTAGTGGTCATGATGTGGTAGCTCTTTGGTGAAGGTCACATTCCAGCTGCCCTCTGCTCTTGGGGCCACTCAGTTTGCCCTGACGTGGCATGGAGCTCATAAAAGATCTACATGAGAATAAAAGTACTGATGACTCATTGTTATGAATGGCAACATCAACATGACCTCAGTACAGTGCCAATAAACAGTTGATGTGCTACTGAAAAAAAAAAACAGGATGTAAAGCTTAACCTTTCTAAAAAGAGCCAATTAAAGCCCTAGTCAATTTACCTGCTTCAGTGAAAATCAAAATAAAATGTATAGGTGTATTTCACATATGTTTGAATGTCACACTGGTGCATTTTAAAAACTTATTGTTACTTGAATGGTAAATTTACAGAGAGAAGGAGAGAAAGAGAGAGAGAGAGAGAGAAATTGTCTATCCTTTGGTTCACTCCCCAAATGGCCTCAAGGGTTGGAGATCAGGAGCCTGGAGCTTGTTTCTGGGTCTACCCTGTGTATACAGGGGCCCCGTGTACAGGGGCCAAGGGACTTGGGACATACTGCTCTTTTGTCCCAAGTTATAAACAGAGAGTTGGATCAGAAGTGGAAGCATCAGGACACAAACACCTGTGCGCTGCTGGAACCACACATGGAAAATTAGCCTGTCATGCCAGTGTGTCGATATAAAAACACTTAAGCATTTTTGCACGTGTTGCAGCTTCTGTATTATTTGAAAGTAAAGAAATCCCTCCTGTTGGCACTGTTGCACAGCAAATTGAGTTGCTGCATGTAGTGCCTATAAGCCGTATGGACACCAGTTTGAGTCTCAGATGCTCCTCTTCTGATCCATTTTCCTGTTAATGTAGCTAGGAAAGCATCAGAAGATAGCCAAACAGCTTAGTCCTCTACAATATACTGCAAGACCCACCCAGATGAAACTCCTGACTTCTAGTTCCACCTGAGCCACCCCTGGCCATTGTGGCCATTTGTGGAGTGAACCATCAGAGAGAGGATTTCTCTCTCTCTCTCTCTCTCTCTCTCTCTCTCTCTCTCTCTCTCTGTGAGGGTGAGGGGGTGCGTGTGGGTGTGTGTGTGCATAACTCAGCCATTCAAATAAATTTTTAAAATCTTAAAAAAGAAAAACAACTACACCATCAGGTTGTTCCCTGTGTCCTTATATAGCCCTTTTGGGGATATGTTTTGGGGCAGCAGAGGTAGCTTGAACATAGAGTAGTTTGACCTAGTGAGCATGTTATTCATTGCGATTCATTTCTGCACACTGATTCAAATGATCATAAATTTTAACATCTTAATACCTGTGTCCTTTACAGTCATTAAATAATGGGTTTAATGGCTGCATCTCTGTAGGAGGATATATGTATATATACTCCACACACAAAGAGCTACTTGAAAAAGTGTATGAAAAATAAAATTGAAGGAGAAGTTTAATAATGGGCATTTGGCAAAACACTTAAGAAATAGCTTGGAATACCTGCATCCCATTTTTGACTATGTAAATTCACTTCCCAGTTTCTCTTTCTCGCTTTCTCTTTTTCTCTCTCTTTCTCCACCTGTTGAGTAGACTTTGTAGAAGGTAAGTTTCTAACTTTATTTTAGTATGGAAGAATTGGACTTATGCATAGGTTTTTTCATAGTACACATTTCCTGAACCTTTTGAAGGCCTTTATGTTTATGAATTTTTAATTTTTTGCCCCAAAATAAACATGTTTCATTGTATTTTCCACAACCATAACCTCATAGGCAATACACATACATTTTTCTGATAGCTGTTCCCTACAGTACCATTCCTATACTGAGTGTCCATTGTCTACCCCAGTTTCATTAAAGCAAAATGTATTTTCATGGTATATGCTGTCAGGGCTGGAAGAGGACATGGATGAATTTATATTTGGCTATATTCAACATAGAAAGACATAATTGAAACAGGACCTGAGGGGACATTAAAACTCAACTGGAAGATGTTGCACATGTCCATGGTGACTTTGGTGTCATTAACTCACACAAGCCATTTTACATGGATAATTTATGCTGCCAGATGGTCCTTTTTGGGGATTTTCCATCAAGCCCAATCCCCCTTTTGGCACAGAGAACACCTTTATGTTGTTCCCACACTTATCTGGGCCTGCATGCTTTTCCCCAGGGGTACAGTTAATTGAGTAGGAGGCTTTTAGTGGTTCACTCATGTAAATTACCTTCAGAAATATGTCAGGAATTATGTATATCTGAATGCACTGGCAGCCTTTTGGTTGCCTATGTTTGGGATAATTCGCTCAAATAAGTACTGGGGATACTTTGTGCCTCAGATGTGACACAGGAAACAAGGCCTGTGCCCAGTCCTCACTCAAAGGGCTTTGCATCTGCTTACCTGCCCTCAAATGCTTTTCAGGACTCTCCAGCCAAAAGCCCAACAGCAGGCCGAATGTTGCCAGAAGAGACATGTTCACTTGAGCAACAGGAAGAATTTGGAAAGAAAAGCAAACCAGACGTGCAGTAAATCACATGTGCTCTTTCTAATATCTTTTGTAGTATCCTGTTCCCCGTTGGTTTTCTCAGGACTTTTAGTGCTCAGCTCTTACTGTCTGGGAAGAAGAGCAGAGGAGGTTAAAGATGATGTGAGGGCCCAGCATGATAGCGTAGTGGTTAAAATCCTCACCTTGAACTCGCAGGGATCCCATATGGGTGTTGGTTCTAATCCTGGCGGCCCCACTTCCCATCCAGCTCCCTGCCTGTGGCCTGGGAAAGCAGTCAAGGATGGCCCAAAGCTTTGCGATCCTGCACCCGTGTGGGAGACCCAGAGGAGGCTCCTGGCTCCTGGTTTTGGATTGGCTCAGCTCCAGCCTTTGAGGCCGCTTGGGAAGTGAACCATCAGATGTAAGATCTTCCTCTCTGTCTCTCCTCCTCTCTGTTTATCTACCTTTCCAATAAAAATAAATAAATCTTTTTTTTTAAGGATGATATGAGTTTGAAAATATCAGCCAATATCAAGCTGGCTCTTGCTTCCCTCACAATGCGGCATTTGTTCCCTTCCGTTAGTTTCATTTCCCAGTTATCTCAAAACTGGGTTAGATTTGAAGCTTTGAGGCTAATCAGGCACTGATGAAATGGATCCTATGAAATCGTAGCAGACAAACATGCACATACCATCAGCTCTTATTTGTTGGTACAAATGCAAAATTGCCAAAAATCTACTAACGCAAACAAATGGGAAGGAAATCAACAGGCAGATGCTTAGGATTAGGTCATCGCTGTGCATTCTATATGTATGTGGTGAAAGCTATAATTATGATAGTTATAAATATAAGATAAATATAATTATAGTAGTCATAATTGAATACCTACTATGTGCCATGGATTTTCATTTTTTGTAGTAAGAGTTCTTTTAACATTTGCAAAACGCAATAATCCTGCCTCTATGAAATGAACATTAAGATGCCAACGCTGTGGCACCACAGGCTATTCCTTTGCCCTGTGGCACTGGCATC